AGAGGAGGAATGGGCATGACAGTGGGCAGCGAGCGTGCGCTGTAGCAATGATAGCATGGCAAAGCTACTTTGGGTTAGGTATACGCTGTTACCGGATTGTAGACATCTTCTTTTAAATTTAAACTGATTTTTTATTTTAAAGCTTAAAGTTTGTATTAATTTTTTAGAAGACTTACGCCCCCCTGAATGTTGCTTCACGCCCCCCAGTTTGGGAACCACTGGTCTAGACGGTGCCGACTGAAATCTATCTGCACTGTCCAGACAGTGCCAACTAAAAACCATCTGCACTGTCCAGATAATTTCATTATCATATTATCAAGAATATTCAGAATGGCTTGCAGTCCTTGGGATTTAGTTTATTATTATTTATTTTTGTAATAAGTCCACAAAATCAATGTTTTTTCAATAGTACCTTAAGTGTCAATTTTTACAGGTCAGGACGATGCCAAAAATTCATTCGAGGGTGGCCATAAATACAAATGTCACATACAAAATACAAGCAACATTTTCCCTACAAGCGTGCGCAAAGTAGTAGGTACTTTTCAAGGAGTGCGGAACAGGAACTTTCAGCATGGAAATGCGTACGGAGAAGTACTACTTTGGGCATGCTCGTAGGAAAAATGTTGTTTGTATTTTGTGTTTATGGGTAACTTCGAATGAACTTTTGGCCTCGACCTGACCTGTGAAAATAGGGCTTTTTTTAGGTACCATTGAAAAAACACTCATTTTGCGAACTTATAACAAAAATAATTATTAATACACTGAATCCCAGCAAGGAATGCAAGCCATTTTGAATATAAACTTCAACTTTATATGATAGGATAATCAAATTATCTGGACAGTGCAGATGGTTTTTAGCTGGCACTGTCTGGACAGTGCAGATAGATTTCAGTCGGCACTGTCTAGACAGTGCTGATAGATTTTAGTTGGCACTGCCTGGTCAGTGCAGATAGTTTTCAGTCGGCACTGTCTGGACAGTGCAGTAGTCACTCCCTAACAAATAGGTAGATCATACATACTTTTTGTTAAAAAATAAACTTACTTTAAGATCCATCTTCAGAGACTCGCCCTGTTTGGTTTAGCACATCAGTTTCAGAGGAGCACAATACAATATGTAGGTATAGGTACCTATACCTACCTACCAAGTACCACACAAAAAAAACACTCCAAGAAACACATAGGATGATATCTATAATTAAAATTATTTTTATAGCATAAAATAACCTATATTTTACCCAATTTTACCTAATAAAAATCCAGAAACACCGATTTTTACACAGCAGGCCTGACCTAACCTAACCTCTAACCTGAATCTAAACAAATCTGCGGCGTTGTTCGAAAATAATGAAAGTGATACGTCCTTTGGGACGTATCAAGCATGTTGTACCTAACAACATTAAAAACGTTATATTACCAAACAAGTTAGTTTCGAATTTGCAACGTTTATTTCGAAACGAAACGAAAATATAGAACAGAAAACGTCACAAACATGTCATCACGTGAAACGTAGCAAGAATGTAAATAATATACTGTCCATATAACGTTAAATACTCAACGTTGCTAGGATAAACATCTATTTCACGTTATTGGAACGTTGGTTTTACAACAGAACCAATACAATTGCAAAATAACGTTTCTTGCTCAGTGGGATATCTTTCCTATTTCCATTCAAGCCACATTACTGCAGAATACCTCTCTCTTTTTTCAATAGGTTAATAAGTTGAAAAAGGAAAACGGATAACTTCTAAAAGATGAGCACTGGCAACGTAGCAACAAACTTTTGACTTTCTTGTTAATTATGCTCTCTAAACCACGTGATTTTTCAATATGGCGACTAAGGAAAATTTGACTTTTGTACAGTAGTCAATAGATGGCGCCAGGTATTTTGTTTGTTCTGCAATTTCATGCAGCCAACTGAGTCAACCAACAGCGAATTCTATTGGTAAAACTAGTGCAGAAAAAATGTGTTTTTATCTCTTTCTTATATAAGCTGTTTAGAAAAAGACTCGAATACACTCAGGGCGCACTAACCCTTCCAATAGAATTCGCTATTAATTGAATTAAAGCGTAGGGAAAATTGTAGGGATTTTTTTTTTGGTTGGTAGGGGAAAGTAGGGATTTTTTTTTGTCTGAAAAGGGCAATCGTGAAAAAAATGTTACCATCACTGACGCACGGTTAGTACGAAGCTGCCTAGAAACAGTGCAGAGTAGAGTAGTAGTCGAATACCTCCTGTGGCCCGTGCCAGTTTGTTCACTAACTAGTTCCTGTTCTGTAAATGATGCAAAAGAATATGATTCGAAATCGCCTTGCCCTTATGCTCTAACCAACTGTCTTACCTTGCGTTCGGTATTTTGCTCAAAGTGTAGAGCGAGCTGAGCGGAGCCGTAATCACGTGACCAGCGAGCGAACGGAGCAGTTGAACGCTGTATAAAAGTACCGGAAATTTTAATAAACGAACGCGAATGAGGCTGCACCGAGTACACTTTTTAAATAAACGAACGGTAAAGTCAAGCTCGGAGAACTCAGACCAAAATAACGAACGCACGGTTAACCCAAGGAGAATAAACTTTCTAAGGAGTGCTTATCGGCCCCTTTTTGGGTAATCGCCGCCATATTGGTTTTCAAATGTTTCCAACCACTGCTGACGTCATAACTAAGTCGCCAGCTGTTTGCGCCAGCGGTTTTATAAATTTATAAATTTGTCATGAAAAATATATTATTTTGATTCTGATTAACCATTATAGCGCGTAAAGGTACCCTATGACGGAACCAATAAACATCAAGGTCAAAAGTGCGATCTGAGCGCGATATTTCGATATTTGGCTAGCTTTCGTCATTCCGCCTATTTACACGTTTTCAGCATGTATGATTTAATGGAGCCCTAGAAGAATTACGCGGCGTTTTGTTTACATTTCTATATGTAAGTATAATAACTATAAGATAATTTATTCTATACTATTTAATTGTTTTTAGGGTTTTCTCATATTATTATAAAAACATATTCCTATTCGAGCATAAATTGATCGTTTGTTTATGTATTATATTCTTGTAAACATTACTGTCCATATGGCATATGGGCCTGGGCAGTAGCTAACATTTTTAGCTGTACATTTTGTTTTAGTGGAATTAGCCATCAGGATGTTTTGAATACTGCTTATGATAATGAAAATGTTGATGACATATTATTGAGCCCACACAGAAAGCAAAGAGCTCACTGACTAAGATTCAACAGATGAGGAACGTGGTTTAGCTGACCTATCTACTAGGCAACTTTGTGCTAGTGCAAAAATTGTTTATTCGAATGGGAAATAATATATCACAGGTAGAGCAGAATTAACAATTTTTTGAGAAATCATACAATTTTAACTTTATTTTTATTTTCAGACATACCCGAGGAAATATAAAGTACCACCTTGCGTTACAGAAGAATATGCTTCGGGCTGCAGCAAGTGATTTTTGAGTCAATAATGATATAAGGTATTATGGACTGCATCATCATTCAAACACTTTTCCTGAACGTAAAAAAAACGATGTGGTGGTCAAAACTGTAGCAGCCGAGGAAGAACAATGTGCTGTAAATGCAATATCGACTTATTTATTCACTGTTCTTGAAAGTTTCACACTGGGTAATAATTTTCACCCATAATGCTGCTCGTGATGATGCAGACCAAAATTCATTATAATCTATTTCGTTTACCTGATCCGAAATGATTATATCCATACAACAGCCTAACCGGATCTTTTTCTTATATTTTTGTAAACTTTCTACAATAGGACATTGCCAAAAGGGTCTAAAGGCAGGTATGGTATCTCCCTTATAATGTCTGTATTTGAATAACTTGTATATGTAATAAATAAATAAATATTTTATAAATAACTCTTTATTTTTAATTATTAATAGGTGAAAATTAAATTAACAAAGTCAAATAACTTGAACACAAATCTGATTTTTACTCGAACTACCTATAACAATATAATACTGGTAATTAGGATTCAATAAAAACTTTACACGTTGTGCTGTTTGCTCAGCCGTTTGTATGTCTATCTGAGAAGAGTTCAATAATTGATTAAAAGTATAACTACATTCATTACTTGTATAGTCTCAATAGAATCTTGATTTCTTTTTCTTTCGGCAAGTTTTTCAGCACCCATGGAATCTATTTTTTGGCTCGGTTTATGGATCACTATAGAAGAGGGCAAATTCTGGGATGGTACAACTGTTTTTTTCAATATCCGACCTCTACCTGTACCTCTAAGACCTGTACTCTCACCTGTAAATAAAAAAAACAGTCAATATTTTCAAACAAAACATTTTAAAAATAGATAGTACTTGATCAATGCCTAGAAGCAGGCCTAATAAAATGAAGCTAGGGCACAAAACTACCCATTATGCTTGTTTACCTTAACACAAAATTCTTGCTTGAGATGCAGAGAATACACTTTCATGAATTTGGTGACTGGTTTGCCAATACGAAGTTTTAAAATCCAGTAGACTTTTCTTCTCGACACTAACTCTTTTTCCATTTTCGATTCCAAATAAACCTGTGTGGCCTGTTTCAAGGGGAAATATGTAAAAACTCAATCCTTTGTCAGCTTTTTTTTTTAGCCCAAGACTTGCACTGAGGAACACAACAGTAATGATTAAAAGTCATGATTATATGTATCTGATAAAATTTTATAATTTTAGACTTATAATTATACTAGAAACTAGTTTCATAATTTCCAGCCAGCGGCCAGATCATAACATAACCTGTGGTGCAAACAGCCTACGTCAAGGCGAAAAACGCCATGATGCTACGTCACAACTGCTTTTTTGGCTAGGCGGGGTAGGGGGGGATTTGTTACACACAGGCCTTATGAGGATAAGCCATCCTTAGTAGTATGTATCATCCTTGCGGTTAACCAACAAAGCATAACATCAACAACATACGACATAACCTCAATTGCCAGTCGGCCAGCCATTTCCACGATTTCAAATTTGATTTAAAAAATCATTATCATGTCCATCTCAACCCTCGAAAATAATAGTAAACCCCCAACTCATATTGCCACTGACTGGAACTTTTTCCTGAACGAAGTCCTAACAGAACGTGTCCAAATCACACCCTACTATGACAAAGAAGACTGGAAAATCGGAGAAATTTATTCTATGAGAGTGAGCCACATTTATGATCCTTCGCATTTTTGGGTGGTCACCAAACACCTGGAAATGGATTTGCTGCACAGATATTTGAATGATTTTTATTCGAAACATAACAACCACTATAAACTCCCCAAAGAAAATTTGAAGTTGAATCTATATTGTATTGTTTATACTGAAGGGGCATATTATAGAGGAATTTTGGTAAAGATACCCTATATGATGAAAAACAAAACTTGGGTTTTCGTTTATTTGCTGGATTTTGGTTTTATGTCAAAGGTTTTGCCTGATAACATTTATTTTATGACGAAAGACATGTATTCCGTGAAGCACTTTGCCATTAGAGCATGTTTAGCAGGTAAGAAAATTGATGATTATTGATATTTTGTTCTTGGTTAGGTAAAGACTCAAGTAAAGACTGGTCTTAGAACTTCAAGATGTACTTACCACAGATCATAAAGAAATATATATGTTCATACCAAATAAACTTAGAGTCGGGTTGTCAAGCTCGGCCGGCACAGCGTTGCCGTCTCTTCCATATTTTCCTTTGGTCAAAATATTTTCAGAAACAATAATGGATTGTATTATAATATAATGCAAACATTTATTACTTAAATTATAAACATTGCTTCAAAGCTTGGTTTTATAGATATTTAATAACAACTCAATTTTCAATCATCACATAAAATATAATAATAACACTCACTACCTTTTTTATTTACAGCCACTCTAAATACTATAAATATCTTATTAAATATTATGAATATTTGATCCATCAAGAAGATTTTCAATTATTCTGGATCACTGAAATCGCTGAAATCGCTAGAGTCTTCATCAATATTGATAAGTGAAAGGATGTATGCTATTGAAGTGGAAGAGCTTATGCCATATGAGCATTGTCTATAACAATGACAGATGGTTCACTCAAGTTCTTCAACAGCTGATTTTCGAACCAACATAAAAAGTTTTGCTGATTAATTTCTTCATGATAGTCGTTAAGTTGAGTTTTCGATGAATATTTATTTATTTATTTATTTATTTATTTATTTATTGAAACAACTAATACAGGTGGATAAACCCTTCTAACAGTTGTGTTTAAGCTACAAACTAAACTAAAACTAAGGTTTTAACTTACAAGAAAAAAAACTAGGACTAGTTGGAGAATGCTAAATATTACGGAACATATATAGGTGCTTCTAGCTGTATTGTGTAATTTTAATGCTACTCATTTCCTAAAAACAGGTCTTTAGTTTTTCTTTTAAATTTCATGAGTGAGTCTCCAAATATATCTAAAAGATTTTGATGTTCATTGTAATTTAATAGCATTGTTCTTAGAGGGGCGCTGCCTTGGTAATTGGTTCTATAGTAAGGTACATAAAAAGTTCTATTGTTCCTATTGCGAGTATGTGAGGGGACTTGCAAGCCGATATGTTGCAATGTAGTAGAGTCAAATACATGGCCGTTAAATATTTTGTACAGATATATTAAGCTAAAATATTTTCTCCTATTAAATAGGGAGATCATATTTAATTTTTTTAGGTTTAATGGATAATTGCTGACGTGAATTCTATGAAGCAATATATCTGAGAGCCGAACAAATCTTTTTTGAATGTTTTCTATTGCCTGTATGTATTTAGTATAGAATGGTGACCACACTACACTGCAATACTCTAGCTGTGACCTCACAAAGCTGTTGTATAATACAATTAATGTCTTATCATTCACAAAATCTCTAGAGTTTCTTAGGAAGAACCCCAATTTTTTACATGAGGCACTTATAATATAGTTTATGTGTTCACTAAACATAAGCCTTTTATCAAAGATTATTCCTAGATCTTTAGTAGTAGTTATATATATATATATAAGCGATGTACCTTCAATGAATCCATTTTCAGTGCCAGCATGAAGTAGGTATGATATATCTAGAAAAAGCATTTCTTTGTACATATAATACACTGCTCTCTGTGTTCATGTTTAAATTTACCTATACCATCAACTTTGGTAGTTTTAACACTTCGCTTGTTGTTGTCTTCCCACGGTTAATAGTACCATTTTGAAAAATCCAAGTCTCGTTCAAGAAAACAAACTGGTACAAAGCCTCCTGTTTCAGTCTTAGATAAGACCTTAAAAATGATATGCGTTTAACAGCAATATCAGAGACTTTATTCTTGAAACCGAGGAACAGCGTTCTCATGAGAACGATTGCTTTGTCATTGTCAGTGTTATGGAAATATGAATACGGACGACGAAGACAGAGCCTTCGTTCTCATGAGAACGCTGCTCCCCTGTTTCGAGAATAAAGTCCCAGGAAGTTCCATGAGCCTTCGTCTTGGGTCATCTTTTTTCCATTTGAAGCCTATTTCTTTTAAGATTCTACTCAATGGCATGCTACTGCCATCAAATAATTGTTTGTCTTTCAATTGCTCCCATATACAGGATAATGTTACATGTTGTTCTACAAGAAGAAAAAAGGTGATTCATAGATATCTATATGTACCTTTGTCTCAAACGATTTACTTTTTATACACATATCGTAAATAGTGTTATGTATAGCACTGCTATCGAGCTTTGAAACATCACAGACTCTCTTATTCGAAGTGCATCGTTTCTTAGAAGGCGATTCCAAATCTTCATTATTTTTTACTGCCGTCGAAATAGCACAGACAGTGGACATACTTAAGTTCAAAGCCTCTGCTACTCGCTAAAAATGAGAGAAAGTTCAAATTAAAAATTCGTATTTGGTCACACGACATCAACGACTTATAAACTCACCTTCCTAACAGCATTTAAGGGACATTAAGGGCCATTATTATCGCGTTCTCGTTCGAAATATTGTAAAAAGGATGCGATTAGTTCTTTGCAACGGCTGTTAAGCTGCTTCGGCATCTTGTACACTTCGCACTACAAGCTGATTTCAAAAAACAAGGTCACAATTAACAGCACAAACCAAAAACTCGTAAACTGCCAAAATGCAATCAAAATGTCAAGAATTTAATTTGGCAACGTTAAATTTTTTGACATGGTGTTACCAACTGAATGGCCAGCGGGAAATTCAAATTCCAATTAAGTCAATCCGACGCCGAATATTTTCACGGTTGGCGATATGGATTTTAAAAATGGCGTCATCGATGTCACAACAACAAGTTTATTTGGTATGAACTATATAAATATAAATATATATTTATTAGAGGTGGGTTGCGATTTCACGAACTGTGACTTTGTCACTGCTACTCGTCTGTCACAGTCACGGCTTGCTCCAGTCCCAGTCAAGTAGCAGTGACATTTTGTCACAGCCTGCTTTAATCTCCGACCGATGCAGCACGGACAGAACTCGAGCTGAGTGATGTAAATGAAATATTAATATTATAAATTGCATCGCGGTCACGCCAAATAGAAACTGCTACTGCAGAGGGCAGGCTGGAAACTGGAGCATCTCTCTAGGCCGTGACTGCGGACTGCGATTATGCCATTTTACGATGTAGCATTAACATATAATAATAGCAGTACGGCCGCCAACTAAGGTAAAACTGCTCCAAAAAATCACTGCTATTTGTCACAGTGACACGACTGGAGCAATTACGTCTTGTCACAGTTCCATTAAAATCGCAGGTTGGCCCACCTCTAATATTTATAAAAAATATAAATATATATGTTACTGTAAATGCCTGAAATTCGGTTAAACCTAGGATAAGCGCGCTAAACCTAGGATTTACCAAAAGCAAGTGGTAAAAGCCCGAAAACTAGTTATTTTGCTATTATTTCGGACTTTTAACCCAAACAGTAAATCTTAGGATTTACCACACCGCATTGGTAAAAGTACGAATACCACTGATACGTTACAGAAATCGATATCGTGAAACGATAATCGTTAAGAAAATTTCTTGAGTCCTGGAGATGTTCCATCTCAGAAAATTAGCGTAAAGAGTGCAGTGCGAAAATTGTCGTTATGTACTGGCCAAGGGTTTAAGAAATGCAATTGCATTCAAAAATGTTCCACCAAAAGATATTTGTGTAGATCCTCTAAAATACTCTGCAATTCTAAATGCCATGGAAGTTTGCCCAGTACCAATAAATGCATTTTTTATGGAAATTTTCAGTGACCAATCAGCTACCCGTTGGTACTCTCGTTTAAGGCCAGTACGACTTCTGTTTACATTAAAAAATATTAAAATAAAAAGTGTTTTGGTATGACTTTTTGTTTCATTTATAAAGTATCTTATTTTTAGGCATTGAAATTTTATTGATTATGGATTTACGATATCGATTTCTGTAACGTATCAGTGGTATTCGTACTTTTACCAATGCGGTGTGGTAAATCCTAAGATTTACTCTTTGTGTCCGGTAAAAGTCCGAAATGGAAGCAAAATAACTAATTTTCGGGCTTTTACCACTTGCTTTTAGTAAATCCTAGGTTTAGCGCGCTTATCCTAGGTTTTACCGAATTTCGGGCATTTACAGTAACATATATATACTGTTCGCCCAAGTTAAGGACACCGGTTGAAAGAATGTGAAGAATTTTAAAAAAATGAGGCGGTCAATTATTCAACGTCTCATTTTTTTCAAGTAAGTGTACGTGACAACTATGTACTCAAATTCTTCACATTTTTTTTAACCGGTATTCTTAACTTGGGCGGACAGTATATCCTATATTTCCTCTGCTACTGTCATTATGGAAGTATGTTGTAGACCTTCAAGCTTCAATATCTTATTAGGAGAAGGGCAATTCAATCCTTACTTTTTATTTTCCATATAGTCAATAATACTTTATATACAGACTGTGGATTTATTAATCTAATTAAATTTCATGTTCCTAAAATTAACCTTGGACTAAGGAACTACAACATTTTTGTGATAAACCAGTCAAGTTGCTCACCACTGAGCCATATCCTGATAGAGTGTAGCGATATCTTAGAGAAGTGTAACATAGATATTTTCAACACAACTGTTGCCTCAATCAAAAAATTGACTAGAGGATGATATACACCATTATGTTTGAGCCCAATTGCTGGAATTTATGTGTACCATCTAGCCTATTTATTTATTTTTGTATTATAATATGTTTTGTTTTATCCTCAGTTTCATCTCCTTTTTGTTATTCTTTATTGTATTTTTGAATTTTGATAGTAGGTAATGTGATTGTGATACATAACTGGCTTGGTTTCGGTTCTATCTCGCTAGTCACTGTCAACATATTTTGCTATCTGGCAGATACTCGGATTAAGCTAATATTAATATTAACTTCGAAGAGCCTCATGGATCTATGTTGGGCCCCCTACTGTACCATTTACATTGTATTTTAACGCTAAACCCCCAATACCAATACATTCAAGTTTAATGAGTAATTTACACACCTGCTTCAACACCATTATCAAAAACTCTTCCATTGTGTCATTGTTGGTGTTCAATCAGTTTTATAAGCTTCTCCTATTTTTTTAATTATCTTGTGTTGTGTAAACGAATTTCATATTTTAATCACGCATATTCATTATAGCATAAAAATTAGGTTTAAAATTATTTGTTTTAGCTTCTAATGCCTATGTTATTTTGCAGGCATTGGCCCATTGGGAACAAACAAATGGACCAGTGAAGCGGTAATTAAGTTTACCGAAATAATTACCAATAAAGTTGTCTACGGCCAAGTTATTGTCAAAAATGATCCCCAAAAAGTTCTATTTTTACAAGTATGTGAATATAATTCGTCAACAGAATCCATGGTTTCAATCGGAGACACTCTCGTTGATTGTGAACTGGCCAAAAAAATGACCATCCTAGAGATAAGGAAAATGAAGCATTCTGAAAAAAAGAAAGGTTCAAAAGAAAGTACGAAGTTAGTATTACCATTTAATCTTCCTACTTTTGAGGATCTCGAAAACGGATACGTTGTTGATACAATTACTGTTGCTCAATTGCTCGATAAAATAGTAACAGTTCGCAGTGATAGGCCAACATTAGAAAATGGATTATCGTAGTTAAGTTTAAACTGATTCATCCTCTTTATGTATTGACCAGAAAAAAGTGACATTCTAGGATTGTCCCAGCTGTGAACGTGTTTGATGGCTGAGCATACAGACCTATAGTTATTTGTTAAATTAGTAGTTCTTAAGGGTATTGAATGCGCCGTTTAAAATATATTGTAACGCACGTCGAACTATACGACTACCCAACAAGTTAATACTAATAAAGATGAGAGGTTCATCGCGATTATTGCATTGGGCTACTGTTGGGCCGGTTGGCGCTGGATGGAAAATTTATCGCAAAACAGGCGGAGGAAAGAGCCATAGGGTTTGCTGCGGGTATAACAGAGATAGGCAAAATGACAAGAAGAATTAATTAAATTTCTACAAAAAAATCTAGATAATTTTTGGGATTCTGGTTTGTGCTATTGTATTTCTAACACACATAAGATTGGCGCTAATTGAAAAAGACACCATAAATTGATTAATTTTCTCATTTTTTTCCAGTTTGAATTACATTTTTGTAATTTTTCGAGAACTCGTTTCTATTACCGGATTTCTGAAAAGATAGCGCCATTCGTCCCTATATTATAAATCGAATGCAAAAAAGAAATTTGATATAACTTCAACTGCTAAAAAGTTACGCTGAAATTAAGAACACAATGCATTATTCCTTGCTTCATTCATCTCATTCCCACTAAGAAGTATTAATAGGGGAGGAAGAATACAATGAAAGACTGCGTTAGGTGCTTCGCGCAGGAAAAAACATTTTGGCATTGAGGCGCATTCAATCCCCTTAGACGTTGCTCTAACATCCTATCATTCTCAGTTTGTCTATTTTTTGCTCATGACTTGATGCTATAATCAGCATTACTCAATCAATTTTTTAGTGGTTTGTAATTCATATTAGAATAATTTTTGTTTACTTAATTGGTTTTTGTTACTTTTTATGTTACTAGTTTTATACTTCAGTTTCAATTAGAGATTTTTTTTTTTAAATTCAACAAAAATAAAATCTCCTTAGGATAAGCTTTGGTAAATATAGTATATAGGTATTGACTATACGGTGTGAATTACATGTTAAAGTTTGGCCTTTGCTAGAAAAGTGTTTATTAAATGAAAATAAGAAAATGATGAGGGCCAGGGTGGTGTTTCTAAAAAACTACCCCAAAAGTTTTCTAGTTCTCACGACTTCGCGTAAATCGGTAGTTTTTCGGAAAAATAGCAACAAAGTTGAAAAGAGCAAAATTTCCTATAGTTTTTTAGTAGAAAGCAATACTTTAAGAAATACCATAACTCACAACCCATTTCTATATAGAAATTAATACCTACTATTAAGGATTATTGACGAGGTAGATAGGAAGAAATAAAAATTCAAAATACGACATACAGCAACTCATTTGTTTTCTTATTTTTTTAATTAATGTAGGTGCCTATATTATGTTAGTAACAGATCCCGAAGAGCCGTCAAATCAGAGTGACATATCTATGCCTACCTAATTATATTCAACATCCTCTATCATTACTTCTCCTATATGAATACAAGTATAGCAACTTTAATAATTTCACCATATCAATCATGTTGTATCCTAGTCTCAGTAGAAATAGTCTCATCCTTATTAAAAAAAGCTCAACACAGTGAAATTGAAGACGCTGGTTTGAGTAATTATTAAAAAAAACAAACAAATCAACTATTTTTTGAATATTCTCAATGATGAATTTATGGAAGACTTTCACAATTCACTGTATTATACAGTTTTACTGAACTGGACGTTTTGTGAACTGGACTTGATTGCCAAATTCTGACAAATGTGTCTAAATAGGTAAGTATTAGGTTATTACTTTTAATAGATTTTTTGTTTCATTAATTTTCATCTTATGTTTGAATTTCTTTATCAAAGAGGCAAACTGCATGGATTTCTTGTTACCTCAAAAGATGCCTACTCCTTGTCATTCCACCAAGCCCCGATATTGTGGAGCTCCTCCCAATCACTTCTTCAAGTCTTGAAAAAGCAGAATACTCCAGGATTCTTATGGAAAGACCAAATTAAACCTTTACATAATGAAATAAGTGCTCTAGTAAATTCGATACCACGGAATGATGAATTTGCTAAAGTTATAGTGCAAAGTATACCAAAAGAAGCCAGAGAAAGAGGTACAAAACAATTAAATATCTATTGTAAGTTACATCTTTGATCATCTTCTTAAGGTGTCTGTCCTGAAGAATCTCTCAAAAAAAGATTTCGCGATGTGCAAAAACTAGCAATGAAATTAGATTTAGTACCAGCGGAAGGAGGATCTCTTTTAGTGTATATTTTGTCGTACCTTCAATCACTTCTCGTGATACAATCTGCTGTTCGTATACCACAATCGGAATTAGATGATGACGAAGTAAACTTCAGTCAGTTGACTACCCATGAAGTTTTGTATAGAGCAAAGTTTTGGCTTGACAGAGACAATTTATTGCAAGCCCTAAAATATGTTAATCTTCTAAAAGGAGCATCAAGGTAACTAGTAGGTAAATTCAATAGATGATGAAAGGCAATTCAGCAGCGTATCAAGGTCATGATCATTATGCACTTATTCGCTTTTAATATTGGACATACTTGTACTTAATTTTTTTTTGTCCTGTCTTTTACCAATCCAATTTCAACAGATCAGTTGGACAGAGCTAGTTAATTTATTCAGGAAAATTCTTGATAAACCCCCTGCTACTTTCTTTTATTAATTTGCTTTATGTAGTTAGGTGTGTGCAGGGTTGACAAAAATGGTTTCAATATCCCTTACTCAGAATTTCTTTTGAAGTATCCATGAGATTCTTTAAAGTCTTGTTTCCATATAATTGCCATTTATTACTAAGCCAAAACATAAACTTCGGAAAACTATCAAAAAAAATATATATCTTTTAGATCAGTCGCAAAACGGTGGATGCACGAAGCCAAAATATTTTTGGAAACTCGACAAGCGGCTAACATTTTAATGGCCCATGCATCAGCTGCCAATTTGAAGAAAATGTGGTTTGTCAAATGATTAGAATAAATATTTATTTTTTCAATTTCTCATCTTGATTTATTTCAAATATGTACAACTAAGTAAATCACATTATACTTAATAATATATAGATCAAATTTGAAAAAATAAAATAAAATTTAAACAAAATATGAAAATTATTCTGGAAGTATGTGCCCGGTCAAAATGATTTCTTTTGCCGCCAATCTAAAAATTCGTCTACATCATCATCGATTTCTTCTTCATCCATTTTAGGTTCATTTTTCAATTTGTTCAACAGCTCAATAGCTTCATCTTTTTTCTTTTCTAAATCCAATACTCTGAAACATTTTAAAAGTAAAGCATGTTTATTAGTATAGTCTAAATATCTTACTTGTTAAGAAGCATCAATTGTTCATCAATTTCTTCAATGTGTCTGTCTGCTGTTGCTTCATCTTGATCATCCGCTATTATAGCTTCACTCTTATCCTCAACAATCTTCATCTCTTTGAGAAATTTATCCCATTCTACTTCCACCGGATCTTTGTATTCCTGATTTCTTGCCTAACATTTTAATTTATGTTTAATTTTCTTGTCTATTTTCAAAGACCAAGTTACCTTTGCATCCAATACTGGATCATCAAAAAATCCTTCTGGAAGAGCACTTGTATCCATCTCTTCCGCCCCTGTCGGCGTACTTACTGCAACCTCTTTGGAATCCTTATTTTTAATCAAATCTATTTTGGCATTATTGGCTTCTTTAATTGCCTCTGGCTTTCTATCACTAATTTCAATTGTACTGCTAGATGGCTGTGGTTGCTTTGCATTTTTTAAGATACCTAAGATAATGGTTTAGGAGCAAATAATATTTTTCCATCCCAAACTAATAAACCATAAATATAGATTATACTACACTGTGTCCGTAAAGTAACGGATAAATTCATTATTTTGAAAAAGCTAGAATTTTTGAAAAATCGCTCAGACACGTCAATTTTGTTTTTTTTGTTTGAAATTTTTTGATATATTTTTCATTATACAGGGTGTCTCAAAAATAGCTCCGCTGCTACCAACTTTGTTTTTTCAAATGGATCAACCCTCAGAGTAATACTACATAAATAGAGAGGGCAAGTCATTCATAAAATCGTTTGGTTTCTGCGGCCAACAATCCTAAACGACAATAGTGGATTAATGAATGAACTACATGGAGTGGGGATAAGATTGCGGACAATACGGGCCAATCACAAACAAAACCCGTTTGACATTTCTTACTATGAATCTTACAGCGCAATCGCGATAATGGTCGTTTTTGCTCCAGCAATATTTGCATCCTTCTTTATGTGGTTATCTTAACAAAGATAAAACGATTCAGGTGGGCGTTCCTAGACGAATACAACCAGGTTCCCAGATTTTAGGCAGTGTTGCCATTTTCAGCTAGCACAAAATCTTATTCAAATTTTATTGTGATAATAGATTATTATTTTATATAATAATTATTCCCATTCAATTTTGGAAAGCACTGCGATATTTTATGTTATAATTGTATATACATATACCTATCTAGATTTTTATATTTGCGATGGATTTTTTCCAATTTCCAATTCCATTTTCCCTGCAACTTAGGACAATTTATAAATATGGCACATCTGCAGTAAGTGTCCGCAAGTGATCTTAGAATGGGAGTCAATGTTTGGGGCATCTTTTAATCATAATAAACCTATCTATTTCATGTGTTAATGTGAGGATCAACCTGTATATTATGACATTTATGGATTCTGTGGGAAATTTTTGACATATTTCATGTACAATGTCATATACCTATCTTTAACTGTTCCGGAAATATTGACAGTTGAAAATTGATTTTTTTGCAACTTTGACAGGCTGTAAAACCTGAACGGTTAATTTAGAGGAAAACCGATTTTACATTCCTATCTTAGTCTTTCATAAACTATCATTTGACACCAACTTTGAATTTAGAGGGATTAAATTTAACAGAAATTTTTAATCACGGATTAACTTCAAAGTTGGTGTCAAATGATAGTTTATGAGAATCTAAGATAGGAATGTAAAATCCTCTAAAATTAACCGTTCCGGTTTTACAGCCTGTCAAAGTTGCATAGAAATCAATTTTCAACTGTCAATATTTCCGAAACAGTTGAAGATAGGTATATAACATTGTACATGAAATGTGTCAAAAATTTTCCGCAGAATCCATAAATGTCATAATATACAGGGTGATCCATTTGAAAAAACAAAGTTGATAGCAGCGGAACTATTTTTGAGACACACCCTGTATAATAAAAAATATATCAAAAAATTTCAAACAAAAAAACAAAATTGACGTGTCTGAGCGATTTTTCAAAAATTCTACCGTTTTCAATAGTATATTACAATCCGAGACGGGAAATTAGCTATTACTGTCGAGAGATTGTATCGCTACGCGTCTCGATAAACTATATCTCGAGACAGTAATTAAATTTCCTGTCGAGCATAGTATACTATTTTATTTTTAACCATAATTTTTGCCAATTTAAATTAGAAATGAAATGAAATGTGAATGTAGCTTCATGCTATTTGCTTGAATTTTATGTCATTGTCATCAATTTTGAAAGAAACTTGACAATACCTGCCACATAAATTTAATAAAATGGGGACGGGAAGTAAGGACGGGAAATGAGGACGGGAAGTGGAGCAGGGAAATGAAAAGACAGTAAAGTGACATTTTCAATTTTTTAAAAAGACTGTAATATCAATATTACATATATGGTTAAAAATAAAATAATGAATTTATGTGTTACTTTACGGACACACCGTATAGTTATTACCTTTCACTTTTTTCTCTGGAACATCAGGTAATGGCGGTGTTAAAGGCCTTTTTAATGGCGTGGTGAAATTATTGGTTTTCTCCTTTAGTTTTTTTGCTACTTCAACATTCTGTTTATGTTGCTTTGCATTTACGTGAACTAACCATACCGCCTCTGATCTGACCACGCTTTTACATAATATGCAAGTAAGTTGTCCTAGATCATTATATGTATTGATAAATTAAGGAAAAATTTTAGTATAGTTAGTTGTTTAAGAAAATAAAAGACATTATTGCGGATATACCTCATATAGGTAAGTACCCAATTTTCTGATTAATGCACTCAATAAATAGGGTTGGCTTTATTTGAATTGTTCTTAATGATATTCAGATATTATGAAAATCAATATATATGTTCATATATAATCAATAATCAAAATATTATTGCTAGAGTTACTCAAATGAGATGAAGAAAGTTTTTCTTTTACTTCCAGGTTCAGGTTGCACTGATGATGACCTAGGCCGAAAGCGCTCTACACTGAATTGAAAATAAAAAATTATATGAAATACAAAACCCTCCTTTTTTCTACTTTTCTTCAAAAGGATCACCCATTATCAAACCCTAATCAGAAACGTGAAAACTATTGTTAAATTCAAAATAATTTTGATCCAAGCATACCAAGAGAGAATCTAATATACCCGAAAATATACCTAAGTATGTATTTTGTTTAATGATTATGTTAACTTTATTTTTTATTAGGAGTGTGTTGCTTAGTTTGATTAACTACTTCATTAGGTGGGGGGACATATTTTTATTGTCAAAAGATAATAATTTAGCCTCGATTTTCATGTATTGACAAAATATTTCCACATATTGCCAGGTATTTCCCTAGTATTTGACATAGTATTTACCTGGTATTGACATATATTAACCAGTGATTTGTACACCGATTAACAAGGTGAAAAACATCCTCAGAGCTAAATGATACAACTGGTCTAAGCATCTTTGTGTAATTTTATCAAAGAATAAAGATTAGGTGCTTGAGAATTTATTACTATGAAATTTTGTTTTTCAAAATCGTTAAAATGTGGAAGTTCTTTGATAGTCATCTTGAATCATCTTTTGGTATTGAATCAAATCAGTTTGTTGGATCAAAATTTATTTTCTGAACATTGTTACAGTCTAATCCTAAAATTTTCTAAACACATTAGTCTTCAGGTATGACTACAACAGAGTTTCCTGAGGAGTTTCCTTCACCCGCTTTGGTAAAGATGATGCTATTTTTTTTGTTTTATTTTGAATTAATTTAATGGCACTCTTTCTAAATGGCTTGATGGTTTTTCTGATGGATGCTTTTCTAATTAAAGGCAAGTTCACATTCAATACCAAGGTATTCTCTTAGTTGTTGGTTATCTTTAAGAAGAAGGCACTGAGTGCTGCAACTTGGTACGACATCATTTAAGTTCTTAAATAAAATAATTGTGGAAATCTAGAAACTTTTTTGTTACCTTTCAAAAACATAGGAGGTACCTAGAATAAATCTTGCAACCTTCTTTTTAAACATATTACATATTTTATGAACTTTAGGGATTAAAAGCTGTTTTTAGGGAGTAAAGTTAAAATAGTGTATACACCTCAGGACTAAAGTGTTTTTTAATCCCTCGACAAATTATAGTACCAGTTTAGTCCCTAGGTACATAATGTACTGTACTATTGAAAATTGTAATAAGGAGCTTGTAATAGAAGTCATGTCATACATTGTTTATTAATAGATTCAAATGTGTGACTTTATAATTTTTCATGTTGAAACTAATTTGGTACCAAGGCTGCAGGCTGGTATAAATTTGTAGATGGTACTACAAATTAGGCTGTTGGGACTCACAGCTCACTACCTTCTTCACATGCATTTCAGAGCTTAGCGTTAAAAGTAAAAGTATAGTCGAGTATATCGTATGTATATAATATAATTTGAATTAGTATGCAAATATGCTTTACTATCTATTAACGAGTATTAAAAGGATATTTTGCCAGTGGTGATTCAATTTTTTTTGGTTCTTTCAGGACTTTTTTGTGTTCCTTCATCATCTTCCGCAGCTGCTCCTGCTGAACCATCTTTTTCGAATTTTTGAATGTTGCTGACATCTTCGCTCGATGTACTATAAAATCTAATAGATAACTTCTTCAACAACATGAAAACCTAGAAAATAGCTCAAAAAACTTTTCAACTAAATAATAAACAACAGAAGAAAATCGACAGATTTCATAACCTTAAAAAATTTTGACAAATACGAGATTTATGGCGTTTTCCTTTGGTAGCACTAGTACGCACCAGTGCATTGGTTAATCAGAATCAGGGCAACAATTTTTGCTCAGGGTGCAGTGCTGGATCATTTTTATCGAACAGCAGTGAAAGTGAATATTTGGATTTCGTTATTTCATGAAATGCAATGAACCAAGTGCTACAATATAAACTCATATTTTAATTATTTTCTTCCTTTCATATTTATTCGAAAATTTACTTTGCATCTAAGCTTTGCACTAGAGTATATTTTTGACTGGAACTGGTTGGGTGCAAACTGAGTGGAGCACTGGGTTATCCACTGGAAAACGCTATTGAAAATTATTTGCTTTATAGTTGTATTCCTTTCGAGAGTTTGAAACACTCGAGCTACTCGCTCCGGTATTCAGTCGCCCCCGATTTGCAGGGAACAGATGCGTGGTGCAACAAACACTCCGAAAGGAATAAGCGCGTGAAGCCCCGGAGCTGTTCCGGAGTTCCTCCTAGGTGTGAAAGGAATACAACTTATGCCCCAATAGTTGTATTCCTTTCAAGAGCTTGAAACACTCGAGCTACTCGCTTCGGTGCTTAGACGCCCCCGATTTTCGGGGAACATATGCGTGGTGCAACAAACACTTTTCGAAAGGAATAAGTGCGTGAGGCCCCGGAGCTGTTCCGGAGCTCCTCCTAGGTGTGAAAGGAATACAAGTATTGCCACAAGTGTCAATGTCCGAATGACAATGACAGATGCCTCTGTCAATCAAAAGTGAAAAGTGCCAAACTTTTTAATTGACAATTGGGGTTGTGATTGGGGCTGGGACGGCTGTTGGGTGCTTGGCAATTTGGGAGACCCATGTTTCCTAAATCTTTGTTTTGTGTATGTGTTTCTTTGGAAATAATTCTACAATGTTCAATTATTTTGTGAAAACATGAGCTTTTGTTAACCGTAAGTACGAGGAAATTTAATGGAAAGCTAAAAACTAAGTAGATCCCTATTATTTACACTAGCTTTACTAATATGGCGAACTTGAGTTATTTATTAAAACTAATGAATATGAATACTTGAAGCCTTTTATGAATAGTCCAGTAAAGGTTTGTCCAAGTGAATCTAATGCTTACCTATCCATACCTACAAATAAATTGAATGCTAAAACCGAGGCTAAAACACAATTATTGTATCATAAAAATAGTTAGCCCCAATCACTATTACAAAACTTATTTCTGCTAAACAAAAAATGGAAGAACTGATGCGAACTCCACCAAATAGAAACAAACTATATACAATATATCACAGGATTTTTTTAAAAAACAAATACTTTATACCCGAGTTTACACCATTTGAAAACCGCAATTTAGAGTGAAAAACAGAAAAATAAATAAAACTTAGGTCAAATGAACCTCGGAATGAACGCACATCACAGATGTTTGACCATTGCCGCAATGGCCCCATTTTAAATTAATTTTGTCAGGTCGTTCGAATGAATAATTCTTAAGAACTGTTGCATTGTTTTCCTAACAGCAAAGGTATACCCACTGTAGTAGTAGAAAAATCAATTTTATTACCAAGTAAACAACTTGTTTTATTGAACAGTGTTTTGAAATCAAAGGAAAAAACATGATTTCTTTGCAACAGATCTTTGCTAAATATTTAACATCCAGGTCAATTAAAATATGAAGAAAAATCTGGCTTCCCTAATAATTGTGCCTCTTCCTTTAAATTTATTGTTCAAGTAGTACCTTATACTTGCCAGCAATCAAAATCTTTTACTTATTATTCATTTCTTCTCATAATACCTGCCAAAAAAATAAGGAAGGCCAGGACAAGGGGATACTCAACTCCTTGATTCCGATTTTTATTGATTTATTTACAGAAAAGGTATAAGAAATAATCGAGGAAATAATCTTTACGATATGTTTGTATTTTTGGTATTTTCACTATATTTATACATATAATATAGATACAAATAATAGTAAAAATTAGTTTTACTTTTTCCCGAGGGGTCAACCACTCTGTAAAAATGCGTACACGTATTGCGAAAATGTCGGTATTTCGTAAGTATTTCGCGAAATTCAAAGTATTTCGCTGGTGGTAATTCGAACCTAGTTTTTTGTGGTATTGCCGTACTTCGAAGTATTTGGAGGTAATTCGAAGCAACAATGTATTTAACCTCAAACTTGTCATATGTGTTTATTTTTGTTCTAGAAATAAATGCTATATTTTTCGAAAACTGAGCTAGTTTAAAATTGTTTTTGGTCAGTAACTAATGAACTAGTAGTGCGCTTTGTGGACCAGTTGTTGGTTTTCGTGGTTATTTTGCTAAAGGTGATTTTTGGTGCATTTTATTTTTTGCATTTTGCCAGAAATGTATAAAGCCGATCAGCGATGATCCAGTAGAAAAGGCTCCTAGATGTGACAGCTGCCGTGTATTCTTTCATCTTGAATGTTCAGGTCTCTGTGCAAGCGAGCAGAGGGCTATAGTTGTCCAGAGACGAATAATTTTGTTCTTCTGTGAAGATTGTATCCTTTCATTCAAGAAAATACCTCTACTAACCAATAAATTTGTCCAACTTGAAGAGCAAATTAAATCCCTCAAAGAGGAAATTGAGGTTATCAAGCAGCAAAATCTTCAAACAGTTGGGGCAACAGATATTCCAGCAAACATGGATGCTGTGATTTATGAAATGCAAAACAGGGCTGATAGGGCCAATAATTTGGTTGTCTATGGAGTTCCGGAATCAAATAGTCGCAGTTTACAGCAGAAAATTAGTGACGACAATACAGCTCTTTTGCCTCTTCTTAATGATATTGAGCTTGCTCAGGATGATATTGTCAAAGTTTTGAGAGTGGGTAAGGTATCTGAGGGCAAAACTAGGCCGTTAAAATTAATAACTAAAAATCCACGTGTGGTGAAGAATGCAGTGGCCAGACGTAAGAGGATTACAAACAACAACATCAAAATAAGCTTCGATAAGACTAAGCTCCAACAAGATCAATTTAAAGCGACCTTGGCAGACCTACGCTCTCGGGAAGAAAAAGGAGAGTCAGATTTGATTATTAAATTTATTAATGGAATCCCCACTATTAGCAAAAAGCCTCCACCAAAAAACTAAAAACAACAAGTACAGTATCAATCTATTACCAAAATTTGGGTGGTGTACGCACAAGACTTGACCAGCTGCGTTATGCAATATTACAATGTGATTATGATGTGATTATTCTTGTTGAAACTTGGCTAAATGACGAGTATTCTAATAATGAACTTTCAAACTCAAACTACCAAGTATTTCGGCGGGATCGTGACTCTCAAACTAGTGCAAAGTTGCGGGGAGGTGGAGTTGTAATTTTAATACGGAATCACTTTAAGGCTAAATTAGTCAAGACTGAGGCATTGAATATAGAGCATCTCTTCGTCCAGGTGGATTTTCAAGCTGGTTCATTTATGCTGGGTGGGGTGTACATTCCACCAAACTCTGCACAGGACATCTACATTTCCCACTGCTCAGCAGTGGAAAATGTTAAAAATACTAGACAAGAAATTCCTTTGTACTTATTTGGTGATTATAATTTGCCACTGGCTACATGGGCTTATTCTTTGGATGATGGTCTTTCAGTGGTGTGTCCCCAAAATTATCCAGCTAGAGTTTTGGGTGAATCCTTTTCCTATCTGGACCTCATGCAATCAAATTCTATTCCGAATCAGCATGGTGTATTTTTGGATCTCATTTTTGGTAGTGTTAGTGACAACCAAAAGCTGTCTGTATACCAAGCAGTTGACACTCTGCTCCCTAATAACTATCATCACGTGTCAGTTGCCTGTGATATTAATTATTCTACTAGTGTTCATCAGTTGGACTATACAACCACATATTTAGATTTTAGAAATGCAGACTTTGTTGGATTAAATAATTATCTTTGCTCGGTTGACTGGGAGAGTCTCTTTGACAAATCTAATATTAATAGTTCTACAAATAATTTTTATGAAGTTCTTTTAAATGCCATATCTTTATATGTTCCTAAAAAGACATTTAAACCTTCGAAGTTTCCTCGTTGGTTTAGTCCAGAATTAATAAATCTTGTTTTGTCAAAGAAGGCTGCACATTTGAAATTTAAGCAGGGTCAATTGGCAACTGATTATATCTTGTTCTCTAATCTTCGTGCGCAGTGCAAAACACTGACAGATCAATGCTATAGATCATATATGGCTACCATTGATGATTCAATCCGTTCTGATTCCAAACAATTCTGGAATCATGTCAACTCCCTTAATAAGAGTCATGGGATTCCCAACGTGATGCATCTCAATGACAAGTCTGCTGAATCAAGCGAGGAAATAGCTAACTTATTTGCAGAGCATTTTTCAAGTGTGTACTGCAATAATAATGTACCTTTTAATAACTCTGAATCTCCACCAAACAACTCACTCAATATACCTTTTATTCAGTTTAACCTTTCCGAAGTTTTTGAGTCAATCATGAATCTCAGGGACAAGTTAAGTCATGGCCCTGACAGATGGCATGGGTTCCCTGAGTGGCTCCTTTTGTGGGTAACTAGTTATCTGGGTGGCAGGGTTCAATTCGTGAACATTAGGGGATCAATCTCAATTGCCATATCAGTTACTTCCGGAGTTCCACAAGGCTCACATGTGGGCCCCCTCCTTTTTAATTTATTTATAAACGACATTGGTGACATAATAAAATTTTGCAAGTTCTTATTATTTGCTGACGATCTTAAATTATATTTTAAGATATCAAATTTGTCAGATTGCTTAATGGTCCAGGAAGATCTAAATTCCCTTTATGATTGGTCTATCGCTAATGATCTTCATCTGAATAAGGATAAATGTTTTGCTATATCCTTTTCTAAGTCAAAGGATCCAATTAAATTTTACTACCATATCAACTTAGATTTTCTTCAAAGAGTTAATGAGATTAAAGACCTGGGTGTAGTTTTTGATTGCTCCCTGTCTTTTATCCCCCACATTAATAACAGGTCAAACAAATCCTTTCGTATTCTTGGTTTCATTACAAGAAACTCTCGAGATTTTTCAGTATCGACATTTAGAGTACTGTACTTGACACTGGTTCGTAGTATCTTATCCTACTCTTCAATAGTATGGTCTCCTTATTATTTAAATCATATCTACACCCTGGAAAAGGTGCAAAACAAATTTCTCAAAAGTTGTGCGTGGAAATTAAATTTGCAAAATTCATCAATGGTAGAGATAAGATCATTGCTTAATCTTGATTCCCTTGAGGATTATAGAACTGGATGTGACCTAACATTTTTATATGGATTACTTAATTGCCATATTGACTGCTCTGATTTACTAGGCCTTATAAATTTTAAATGTAGTAATAGAATTCTTAGAAATATGCCATTGTTTACAATTGAAAACCATCACACAAATTATGGGAAATATTCTCCTGTTAATAGAATTCAGTTGTTGGGAAATGATTTTACCCAACACCACTATGAACCGATTGATATTGGTTTTTCAAAGTTTAAACTTTATGTTAGTAAATATATTAGAAATATAAGGTAAAATTCCTTAAGTAGTAGTCTATATATTTCTGTTTCTTTTTCTCTTTATTCATTTTTATAATATTGCGTAATAGAGATATTATTTTTGTTTTGGTTAGAATATTTTTACTTATTGTAAATTTTTGTTAAAATGGGGACAACCCAACCCGTATAAATAAATAAATAAATAATTAGGAGATACTGCTATTAATTGAAACAAATGGAGAGATATACTACCTGATATGTATAAGTGATCAACTAACCAGTGTGTGTCAGTTAGTTAATAGTACAGGGTCATTCAACAAGGATGAACAGGGAATTATTTCTGACTTTCCCTGTATTTTTGAGAAAATTTAAAATAGCCATTTGGAACATTTTTTTTCTGGAGAACTCAAAAATAATGGTACCAAAAAATCATTTGAACC